GATATTAAAATACCAACTATTGAAGAATATCAAAAAGATATGCTATCAGCACCCCTAAATATATCAGATATTGAGAATGTAATAGAAACAATGGGGAATGGGAAATCACCTGGACCAGATGGTTTTCCTATAGAATGGTATAAAATATTCAAAAATCTACTAGTTCCCAGACTTCTATGAGGAAATAGCTCATAAAGGTATATCTGCTACAACATTCCATGAAGCTTTAATAATAATTATTCCAAAACCTAACAAAGACCCTACTAAATGTGCAAATTATAGACCAATATCACTAATGAATGTTGATGCAAAGATTTTGAATGCAATATTGGCAGCAAAATTACAAAAAGTTATTCAAGACTTGATACCTAATAATCAATCAGGTTTTATAAAAACAAGACAAGCTACAGATAATATCAGATTAACAAAGATTTGATGAAGAGGAGTTTATGATATTGTCATTAGATGCAGAAAAGGCTTTTGAAAGAAATAATAATAATAATAATAATAATAATAATAATTTATTATTTGTACCCCGCCCATCTGGCTGGGCTTCCCCAGCCACTCTGGGCGGCTTCCACAGAGACCAAAAATACACTAAAATGTCACACATTAAAAACTTCCCTGAACAGGGCTGCCTTAAGATGTCTTCTGAATGTCAGGTAGTTGTTTATCGCTTTGACATCTGATGGGAGGACGTTCCACAGGGCGGGTGCCGCTACCGAGAAGGCCCTCTGTCTGGTTCCCTGTAACCTCACTTCTCGCAATGAGGGAACCGCCAGAAGGCCCTCAGCGCTGGACCTCAGCGTCCGGGCAGAACGATGGGGGTGAAGACGCTCCTGAAGGTATACTGGGACGAGGCCGTTTAGGGCTTTAAAGGTCAACACCAACACTTTGAATTGTGCTCGGAAACGTACTGGGAGCCAATGTAGGTCTTTCAAGACCGGTGTTATATGGTCTCGGCGGCCGCCCCCAGTCACCAGTCTAGCTGCCGCATTCTGGATTAATTGCAGTTTCTGGGTCACCTTCAAAGGTAGCCCCACGTAGAGCGCATTGCAGTAGTCCAAGCGGGAGATAACTAGAGCATGCACCACTCTGTCGAGACAGTCCGCGGGCAGGTAGGGTCTCAGCCTGCGTACCAGGTGGAGTTGGTAAACAGCTGCCCTGGACACAGAATTGACCTGCGCCTCCATGGACAGCTGTGAGTCCAAAATGACTCCCAGGCTGCGCACCTGGTCCTTCAGGGGCACAGTTACCCTATTCAGGACCAGGGAGTCCTCCACACCAGCCCGCCCCCGTCCCCCAAAAACAGTACTTCTGTCTTGTCAGGATTCAACCTCAATCCATTAGCCGCCATCCATCTTCCAACCACCTCCAGGCACTCACACAGGACCTTCACCGCCTTCACTGGTTCTGATTTGAAAGAGAGGTAGAGCTGGGTATCATCTGCGTATTGATGGACACCCAGTCCAAACCCCCTGATGGTATCTCCCAGTGGTTTCATATAGATGTTAAAAAACATGGGGGAGAGGACAGAACCCTGAGGCACCCCACAAGTGAGGGCCCAGGGGTCTGAACACTCATCCCCCACCACCACTTTCTGAACATGGCCCAGGAGGAAGGAGCGGAACCACTGTATAACAGTGCCCCCAGCTCCCAGCCCCTCTAGACAGTCCAGAAGGATGTTATGGTCGATTGTATCAAAGGCTGCTGAGAGATCCAGCAGAAACAGCTCTCACCTTTGCCCCTAGCTCGCTGGAGATCATCGACCAGCGCGACCAAGGCAGTTTCAGTCCCATGATGAGGCCTGAATCCCGATTGGAAGGGATCCAAATGGTCCGCATCCTCCAGGCGTGCCTGGAGTTGTTCAGCAACCACACGCTCAATCACCTTGCCCAAGAATGGAAGATTTGAGACTGGGCGATAGTTAGCCATACTGGCCAGGTCTAAAGATGATTTTTTAAGAAGCAGTTTAATGACCGCCTCTTTCAGCGGATCTGGGAATGTTCCCTCACAGAGAGAGGCATTCACCACCCCACAGAGCCCATCACCCAGCCCTTCCTGGCTTGCTTTTATTAGCCAAGGAGACAGGTGATTGGTTTCACGCGTCCAAGCAGCCTGTCCACATCCTCGGGGGTAATGGATTGAAAATGATTCCATGCAACTTGACCAGACAGGGTTCTAGCACTCTCCCGCCCCAGCCCTGCTCCCACAGTGGTGTCTAGCTCCTTCCGAATATGAGTGATTTTATCTGCAAAAAACTTTGCAAAATCGTTGCAGGAGATCTTGGGGTCTTTACAAGGCCTCGGTGGTAAAGGTGGTTCAGTTAAATTGCGGACCACCTGAAAGTCTCCTGCTACTATTTTCTGCAGATGCAATAGAGGCGGTGAAGAAAGTCTTCTTCACCGTCGCTATCACCACTTGGTAGGCACGACGTTGAGCTCTAACCTGTGTCTGGTCTGATTCAGAATGAGTTTTCTGCCACCGACGCTCTAGCTGTCTCAGCGATTGTTTCATCACCCTCAGCTCCGAAGAAAACCATGGGGCTGTCCATGCAATTGGAGAGGGCGCTTCGGAGCCAGAAAGTCAATAGCCCCGGTTAACTCCGCATTTCAGCGGGCCACCAGGGAATCAGCTGAAAGGCCATCAACATGGGATAAAGCATCCCCTGCCACTCTCTGGAAACCATTTGGATCCATTAAGTGGCGGGGGCGGACCATCCGAATTGGTCCCACCTCCCTACAGAGGGGAAGGGTTACGGAGAAGTCCAGTTGCACCAGGAAGTGATCTGACCATGGCACTTCTTTTGGTTCACAAAAATTCATATAAATTCATAGGGTTTGTGTTACATAAATTTGGTTTCCCTATAGAATACTGTAATTGGATTAAAATGATTTATAAAAACCCAATGTTCTGGACAAATGGAAGAATTTCAAATTTAATTAGTTTAAATCGAGGAATGAGACAAGGATGTCCTCTTTCCCCATTACTATTTAATCTCTGCCTGGAACCATTAACAAAAGCAATAATTCAGGATGAGCATATCAAGGGTGTAAAACACAACAAACATAATTACAAAATTGTATTATTTGCGGATGATAACCTTTTATTTATTACAAAACCAGAAGATACAATTCCAAAAATTATGGAGAAAATAAAAACCTTTGGCAGAATATCGGGATATTCTATAAACTGGACAAAATCAGAGATTTTATCAATTGGGCCAAGGGCTACATTGTATAGAAACCATCAATTTCGGATGTGCAAAGACTTTATCAAATACTTGGGTATAATGATTTCATCAGATATAGAACAAATTGTAAAATTAAATTTGAATCAAATTATAAATGAGATTTCTTTTGATATAGAAAGATGGGGACCTCTAAACCTCTCCCTTTGGGGAAAGGTTAACGTCCTCAGAATGAATGTTGTTCCAAAGCTTTTATACATTCTTAGAGGATTACAAATACATATTCCCAAATTTTATTTCCAAAAAATAAATCAACTATTTAGATTGTGCCTGTGGGGTACAAAGCCACCAAAAATATCACTACACAAAATGCAACTGCCAACTAAGGAAGGCGGCTTTGGTCTCCCAAATCGGGAACTATATCACCAGGCCTACCTGCTGAGTAAGACTAATGACTGGAGAGCTAGCAGGAATCCCAATTGGGCTACCAATTGAGGCAGGTGATTAGCTGTGGGAGGAGCTTATCAGAGCTTGCAGGGCAGCAGCTGAAGAAGGAGCAAAAAGGGTTTTCTTGTGTGTGTGTGGGAGGAGCTTATCAGAGCTTGCAGGGCAGCAGTTTGATCCGTCTTTTAGATTTAGGGGAGCTAGTCTCAAATGTTTGTTGGGGGAGACCTAGGTTTTTTTGTGGTTTTTTGGGGGGGGAGTTATTTGTCCTGTCTTCATGCTTTTTATGATGGAGGACCACTGTAGCCACCCCCAACGACACGTTCTCAAGATGGAGGGGGAGGGAACAGCTGCAGTCGCCTGCGGTTCCTTCGCAATGTTTGCCATCTTGCCAAAGGTTGCAGGCAGCTTTACCTGCAGCAATTGCGTGTTGCTTGCCCTCTTAGAAGACAAAGTCCAGCAACTGGAGGAACGTGTAGCTACGCTCCAAAGAATTAGAGAGCTGGAGCTCTTCTTGGAAGCAACAGAGCACACCGTCTCCACCAAGGAGGAGACAGGGGACTCCCCTGAGAAGGAGGCTAGTTCACCAACACAGGAGCCAGATATATGGAGAAACGTGACTCAAAGAAGTAGAAGGCCCAGGGTTCGCTCTGATTGTTTAGAAATACACAATCGCTTTGAGGTCCTCTCCACTAGCATGGAAGACGAAGAGCAGACTCCATTTGAGGATCTCTCCCTCATTACAGTCGATCAGGTATATGAAGACGAGCAGCAAAGTCAGTCCTCAGGGAATGTGCAGGCGACCTTGGAACGGACAGCTCACGGAAGAACCCCGACCAAACCTAAGAGGAGGCGTGTAGTGGTGATAGGGGATTCCCTACTGAGGGCAACAGAAGCAGTGATCTGTGGGCCTGACAAGATGTCTCGGGAAGTGTGCTGTCTCCCGGGGCTAAGATCCAAGATGTAACTGAACGACTGCAAGGAATCATAAAACCCACTGACAAATACCCCTTCCTCTTGGTTCATGTGGGAACCAATGACACTGCAAGCAATAGCCTCCAGAAGATCAAAAGAGACTACGAGGCTCTGGGCAGGAAATTGAAGCAATTAAATGCACAAATTGTCATCTCATCTGTCCTCCCAGTTGAACAGACGTGGCCCAGGGAGAGAGGGAAAATAGTGGAAGTGAACAGCTGGCTTCGCAAATGGTGTAAACAGGAACGGTTTGGATTCTTAGATCACGGACTGCAGTTTCTTGAAGATGGACTTCTGGCAAGCGATGGGCTGCACCTCACAATGGTTGGGAGAAATGTTTTTGCCAAAAATCTCAGAAACCTCATCAGGAGGGCTTTAAACTGACTAATGTGGGGGAGGGAGACAATGCTCCTGAAGGTAGGAGTCTATCAACTGATGAAGATGATCATCCAAATGTCATAGACCAAATGGAGCAAACAGCACGCAGACCTAGTGGTGGGAGGAAAAAATCCTTAAATAAGAGACACGGGGGAATGATTAATGGACTTCAGTGTCTGTACACTAATGCGCAAAGCATGGGAAATAAACAAGATGAGCTTGAGCTCTTGGTACAGCAAACTAAATATGACATAATAGGCATCACTGAAACCTGGTGGGATAAGTCCCACGATTGGAATGTAACAATGGAGGGATACAATCTATTTCAGAGAAACAGACCAGACAAGAAAGGAGGAGGAGTGGCGTTATATGTCAGGGATGTGTATACCTGTGAAGAGATCCAAGATTTAGAACCTCAAAGCCAAAGTGAGAGCATTTGGGTCAAAATTAAGGGAGAGAAGAATAACAGTGACCTCACTGTGGGAGTTTACTATAGATCCCCAAGCCAAACGGAGGACATAGATGATGCCTTCCTGGAACAGATGTCTACCCACCGGCAGACATAACAACCAGCAACGTAGCGAGCCACGTCAGCCTTCAGGCGGGGCCACCAAAACTCACGGCTTACCAGATGGGTGGTCCGATACCGCCCAAAGTGTCCCGCTGCTGGGGCATCATGGGTCATCCGGAGAACCTAAGCCTGCAGTGGCCCTGGTGGGATATACAGGCGACCGTGGTGCAGCAGAAGGCCCTGTTGCAAGCCCAGCCCCGGATACAGAGGGCATGACCCTTCGGCCAGTTCCCGGAGTCATTCCTGGGCCCAAGCATCGACCCGCTGCTGTTCCCGCACCCGAGCCTGCAGTGGCTCAGCCTCCTGGGTGGCCAGGAATGCAGCCGGTGGTAGGATCGTGGTGGGTACTGCTTGCTGTACCGTGTCTGCGTTGTCTTCAGGTTTCCGGGACAGGGCATCCGCCTTCTGGTTTTGGGAGCTAGGGATATAGCGGATCCGGAACTGGAACCGGGAAAGAACAACGCCCACCGGATCTGCCTTTGGTTCAGCTTGCGGGTGGTCTGGAGGTACTCCAGGTTCCGGTGGTCGGTTCTCACCTCCACCGGGTGTCGTGCCCCCTCAAGATGGTGGCGCCAGACTTCAAAGGCCACCTTGATGGCCAGTAGTTCCTGCTCCCACACGGTATAGTTACGCTCCGCTGGAAGGAGCTGGCGGGAATAGAAGGCGCAGGGTAAGAGTGGCGCATCGGGTCCGTACTGCTGAGACAAGACGGCACCGAGAGCCGTACTGGAGGCGTCGGTCTCTACCACAAAGGGTCGAGAGGGATCAGGATGTTGCAAGATCGGCGCTCTCTGGAAACAGGCTTTCAACCCCTGAAACGCCTCCTCTGCCTCCTCGTACCAGGAAAACGGCGTCTTGGGGCGCAGTAGCCGGGTCAACGGGGTGGTGCGATGAGCATAATCTGCAATTAAGGTCCGGTAATAGTTGGCGAACCCCAGGAATCGCTGTAGGTCCTTGCGGTTCCGAGGTGCCGCCCATTCCCGAACCGCTGCCACCTTCCCAGGATCCATCTGCACCCCATCTGGAGTCGGTGACCAAGGAAGTCCACTGACCGCTGATGGAACTCGCACTTGCTGAGCTTCGCATACAGGCGGTGCTCCCGCAAGCGCTGCAGCACAGTCCGGACATGACCCTCGTGGAGAGCCGGGTCACGGGAGAAAACCAGAATGTCAACCAGAAGTACACCACCACGTACTTGTCTAGGAAGTCTTGGAACATGTGGTTGATGTACCGTTGGAACACAGCGGGCGCGTTGCACAATCCGAAGGGCATAACCAGGTATTCGAACTGCCTGTACCGGGTCCCGAATGCTGTCTTCCACTCATCCCCGGCTCGGATCCGAATTAAATTGTAGGCCCCCTGGAGGTCTAGCTTGGTGAACACCTGCGCCCCTTGCAACGGCTCCAGCAACTCCAAAATAAGGGGCAAGGGGTACCGGTCTGGGATGGTAATTTTGTTCAGGGCCCGGTAATCATGGCAAAGGCGAAGCTCCCCACATTTCTTCTTAACGAAGAGCACTGGCGCAGCGGTGGGCGAGGTAGAAGGCCTAATGAAACCACACTCCAGGTTCTTGTGCAGGAAGTCCTGCAACGCTTCGCGATCTGGCTCTGTTAGACAGTATAAGCGAGTCACCGGCAGGGGCGCTCCGGGCTGGAGGTCTATGCCGCAGTCAAAAGACCGATGTGGCGGCAGCTGGTCTGCCCCCCGTTCCTCGAACACGTCTTGGTAGTCCCGGTACTCGGTGGGGAGCGTGGATGCAGCCTCCTCAGTGGGTGCGGCTGCTAGCATCTCGGACTGAGCATGGGGACACGGGTCTGGGAAGTGCACAGTCCGATTGACCCAGTCAATCTGAACATTGTGAGCCTCCAGCCAGTCCATCCCGAGCACCAGGGGGAACCGGGGCATGGAGGCAATGTCCAAAGTTCGCACCTCCCGGTGCTGCTGGAGACACAGGACCAAGGGCTGGGTCTCCCGAGTGATGGCTCCTGAACGCAGGAGCCGTCCGTCAATTGCCTCCACCTGTACCGGTTCTGGCTTGTTCTGAAGTGGCACCTGATGATGAGCGGCAAAGGCAGCGTCCATATAGGAGCGGGTTGCCCCTGAATCCACCAGAGCGTGGGTAAGAATCCAGGGCCCACCTGGAGGGTAGAGACGCACCGGAACCATGAGATGTCGCAAATCCACTGGTGAGAGCCCCTCTTGCATGGTTTGGGACCCCAGGTTGCTAGGGCCTTCGGCTACCGAGGTTGGCGGTTTCCCTGCGACTGGCATCTTCTTGGGACAGGATCGGGCGTAATGTCCACTCCCACCGCAGTAAAGACACAGGTTCCCCTCCCGACACCGCGTCTTCTCCAAGGGGGAGAGGCAAGGTCGCGCAGCCCTGAGCTGCGTTGGCTCGTCCGGCAACTCGGCTGTGGGCGTGGACCTGCTGGGAAGGACTGGAGCCAGGAGCCGGGGGTGCTGGCGGTCCCGGGTCTGGCGACGGTCCTCCAACCGATCGTCTATCTGCAGGCTCCGCTGAATAAGGGCGTCCAGCGTGGTGGGACGATCCATCATGGCCAACTGGTCCAGTATCTCATCCGACAGTCCCTCAAGATACTGGTCCCGAAGTGCAGAGTCATTCCAAGACAAGTCTTGCGCCAACAGCCGAAATTCCATGGTGTAGGCGGCCGCAGTGGACTTGCCCTGTTTCAAACGCCTAATTGCCTGGTTGGCTTGACTCTCCTTCTGGGGGTTGCCGAATGCGGCCTCCAAATGGTTGCAAAACCCCATACAGTCTGTCAGCAAGGGCGAGTCTTGCCTGAGCAGCGGCAATGCCCACTTGGCTGCCTGGTCCTTTAACAAACTGATCAAAAAGTGCACCTTGGTGCGGTCGTCAGGGAAGTTCCAGGCTCGCCCCGAATATACAACTTGGCCTGGGCGAGGAACATGGGAAAGCTGGCCGGGGCCCAATCAAATTTCTCTGGCAAGGCCACTGGGTACTTGCCTGGACCTGGGGCGTCAGCCACAGGAGCCGGTAGGGCATCCAACCGCTGCTGAAGTGCCGTAAACGCATCGCTGAGCTGCTGCACGGTGTGAGTCAAGGCCTGTTTCTCCTGGGCCAATGCCACCAGCGCAGCTGCCTGGTCGGCCATGGCTTCTGGCTTTTCCCGAACGCACCCCAATGAAGGGGGAGTGTGGGTGTGGCGGGAGCAAACTGTGCTGGTCCCGGGGGGAAGGTTACCGTTGACGTAGTCAAAGTCCGGTCCTGGGTCACTGGTCTGGAAACAGTTCACAAGGAGCGAGGCGAGGTCCGAAGCAGAAAGCCGGGCGGGGACAGGATCACTGGAAGGTCAGGTCTGGGTCCGGGCAAGAGCAGGTACTCAACGACGTTGCTCCCGCAACCTGGGACCGGGCTGACTGGCCTTTATCTTCTCTGAGGCCAGGGGCGGTCCCGGCCCCCAGGAGACCAGCCTCTCCTGGCCTTAAGGCGAGCACTCCTCCTGGGAGAAACCAGTTCCCTTCGCCTCTCTGCCCTGAGCCTCTGCAGTTCAGGAGAGGCTGAAGGGTTACTGGACCCAGGGGGAGACTCACCTGTAGGCACTGAGTCCTCAACCACCTCCGGAGCCAGAGTGGATTCACCTGGTGCCTGCTCCTGAGGAACCGGCACAGGTGCAGGCGCTTCAGAATCAAGGCCCTGCCCCAGTTCAGCCGGCCCTGGAGGCGGGGACTCCTGTGCAGGCTGGGATTCCTCCGGTTCAGCCTCTGAATCGGATTCCCAGGCCATCACACTGGCCTTGCAGACAACTTCATTGTCCAGAAAGTGGGAGAAGCAACAAGAGGAACAGCCATTTTAGATCTGGTCCTAACCAATGTTGATGACCTGGTTAGTGGGGTAGAAGTGGAAGGATCATTAGGTGTGAGTGATCATGCTCTTCTGAAGTTTACTATACAGCGGAAAGAAACAGCCAAGCATACTAGGACTCAATTTCTTGACTTTAAGAAAGCCGACTTCATAAAACTTAGGGAAGTGCTGGGTGAGATCCCATGGACAGTAATACTAAAAGGAAACGGAGTTCATGATGGCTGGGAGTTTGTTAAGAAGGAGATAGTAAAAGCACAACTTCAGGCAATACCAATGAGACGGAAACATGGAAGGTGCCTAAAGAAGCCAGGGTGGCTATCTAAAGAACTTTTAACTGAGTTAAGATTAAAAAGGATGTGTACAAAAAATGGAAAAGGGGGGAAACCACCAAAGAGGAATTCAAACAAATAGCCAGCACGTGTAGACACACAGTCAGAAAAGCTAAAGCACACAATGAACTCAGGCTTGCTAGAGAGGTTAAAAGCAACAAAAAAGGCTTTTATGGGTATGTTCGTAGCAAAAGGAAGAACAAAGAAACAGTGGGGTCACCCAGAGGACAAGGTGGTGAAATGCAAACAGGGGACACAGAAAGGGCTGAACTCCTCAATGCCTTCTTTGCCTCAGTCTTCTCCGATAAAGAAAACAATGCCCGACCTGAAGAATTTGGAGCAAATGATTCAGCAGAGGAAACACAGCCCAGAATAACTAAGGAGATAGTACAAAAATACTTGGCTAGTCTAGATGTATTCAAGTCTCCAGGGCCAGATGAACTGCATCCAAGAGTATTAAAAGAACTGGCAGATGTGATCTCAGAACCACTGGCAGTCATCTTTGAGAATTCCTGGAGAACAGGCGAAGTCCCGGCAGACTGGAGGAGGGCAAATGTTGTCCCTATTTTCAAAAAGGGAAAAAGAGAGGACCCAAATAATTACCGCCCAGTCAGTCTGACATCAATACCAGGGAAGATTCTGGAGCAGATCATTAAGCAAATAGTCTGTGAGCACCTCGAAAGGAATGCTGTGATCACCAATAGTCAGCATGGATTTCTGAAAAATAAGTCATGTCAGACTAACCTGATCTCGTTTTTTGACAGAATTACAAGCCTGGTAGATGAAGGGAACGCAGTGGATGTAGCCTACCTTGATTTCAGCAAGGCATTTGACAAGGTGCCCCATGATATTCTTGTAAAGAAGCTGGTAAAATGCGGTCTTGACTATGCTACCACTCAGTGGATTTGTAACTGGCTGACTGACCGAACCCAAAGGGTGCTCATCAATGGTTCCTCTTCATCCTGGAGAAGAGTGACTAGTGGGGTGCCACAAGGTTCTGTCTTGGGCCCAGTCTTATTCAACATCTTTATCAACAACTTGGATGATGGACTCAAGGGCATCCTGATCAAATTTGCAGATGACACCAAACTGGGAGGGTGGCTAACACCCCAGAGGACAGGATCACACTTCAAAACGACCTTGACAGATTAGAGAACTGGGCCAAAACAAACAAGATGAATTTTAACAGGGAGAAATGTAAAGTATTGCACTTGGGCAAAAAAAATGAGAGGCACAAATACAAGATGGGTGACACCTGGCTTGAGAGCAGTACATGTGAAAAGGATCTAGGAGTCTTGGTTGACCACAAACTTGACATGAGCCATCAGTGTGACGCAGCAGCTAAAAAAGCCAATGCAATTCTGGGCTGCATCAATAGGAGTATAGCATCTAGATCAAGGGAAGTAATAGTGCCACTGTATTCTGCTCTGGTCAGACCTCACCTGGAGTACTGTGTCCAGTTCTGGGCACCACAGTTCAAGAAGGACACTGACAAACTGGAACGTGTCCAGAGGAGGGCAACCAAAATGGTCAAAGGCCTGGAAACGATGCCTTATGAGGAAGGGCTAAGGGAGCTGGGCATGTTTAGCCTGGAGAAGAGGAGGTTAAGGGGTGATATGATAGCCATGTTCAAATATATAAAAGGATGTCACATAGAGGAGGGAGAAAGGTCGTTTTCTGCTGCTCCAGAGAAGCGGACACGGAGCAATGGATCCAAACTACAAGAAAGAAGATTCCACCTCAACATTAGGAAGAACTTCCTGACAGTAAGAGCTGTTCGACAGTGGAATTTGCTGCCAAGGAGTGTGGTGGAGTCTCCTTCTTTGGAGGTCTTTAAGCAGAGGCTTGACAACCATATGTCAGGAGTGCTCTGATGGTGTTTCCTGCTTGGCAGGGGGTTGGACTCGATGGCCCTTGTGGTCTCTTCCAACTCTATGATTCTATGATTCTATGCTCTCGAGTATAGTTTCTTTGAACCTCTTATAGGGTGGACTAAACTTGGCTCCAATTTTATGAAATATCCTATTATCCTGGAGACTATTAAAGCACCTATAAAAATTTGGATGAATATTAATAAAAATAATAAAGATGACCCCTATCAGCATGAGAAATTAACAATATGGGCCATCTGTCTCCTGAGAAATCTCTATGTGGGACAAGAAGCTACAGTTAGAACTGGATATGGAACAACGGATTGGTTCAAAATTGGGAAAGGAGTACGACAAGGCTGTATATTGTCTCCCTGCTTATTTAACTTATATGCAGATGTCATCATGCGAAAGGCTGGGCTGGATGAATCCCTAGCCGGAATTAAGATTGCCAGAAGAAATATCAACAACCTCAGATATGCAGATGACACAACCTTGATGGCAGAAAGTGAGGAGGAATTAAAGAACCTTTTATTGAGGGTGAAGGAGGAGAGCGCAAAATATGGTTTGAAGCTCAACATCAAAAAAATGAAGATCATGGCCATTGGTCTCATCACCTCCTGGCAAATAGAAGGGGAAGAAATGGAGACAGTGAGAGATTTTACTTTCTTGGGCTCCATGATCACTGCAGATGGTGACAGCAGTCACAAACTTAAAAGACGCCTGCTTCTTGGGAGAAAAGCAATGACAAACCTAGACAGCATCTTAAAAAGTAGAGATATTGCCTTGCCGACAAAGGTCCGTATAGTTAAAGCTATGGTTTTCCCTGTAGTGATGTATGGAAGTGAGAGCTGGACCATAAACAAGGCTCATATCCGAAGAATTGATGCTTTTGAATTATGGTGCTGGAGGAGACTCTTGAGAGTCCCATGGACTGCAAGAAGATCAAACCTCTCCATTCTTAAGGAAATCAGCCCTGCTCACTGGAAGGATAGATCCTGAAGCTGAGGCTCCAATACTTTGGCCACCTCATGAGAAGAGAAGACTCCCTGGAAAAGACCCTGATGTTGGGAAAGATGGAGGGCACAAGGAGAAGGGGACGACAGAGGACGAGATGGTTGGATAGTGTTCTCGAAGCCAGCAGCATGAGTTTGACCTAACTGTGGGAGGCAGTGGAAAACAGGAGTGCCTGGCGTGCTCTGGTCCATGGGGTCACGAAGAGTCGGACGCGATTAAACACCAACAAATGAGTGTGATCCACCTTGAGTCCTGTAGGTATAGGGTGACATACAAATTTAATAGTGATAAAATAATAATGTGTGGTAAAGGTAAAGGTAAAGGTACCCCTGCCTGTACGGGCCAGTCTTGACAGACTCTAGGTTTGTGCACTCATCTCACTCTAGAGGCCGGGAGCCAGCGCTGTCCGCAGACACTTCCGGGTCACGTGGCCAGCATGACGAAGCTGCTCCGGCGAACCGGCACCAGAGCAGCACACGGAAACACAGTTTACCTTCCCGCTATAAAGCGGTACCTATTTATCTACTTGCACTTTAAGGGTGCTTTCAAACTGCTAGGTGGGCAGGAGCTGGGACCAAACGACCGCGGGGATTCGAACCGCCGACCATGCGATTGGCAAGTCCTAGGCGCTGAGGTTTTACCCACAGCGCCACGCGCGTCCCTCCTAATGTGTGTTAGAACTGGGCAATCTATTGTCCAGAACTGGTTCAAAGTCTATATTGTGATATTAGTTTTATAATTTTTGAGTTGGCAATATTGTGAATCATGGTGTGCTCTGCAAAAATCATGATGTGGGGGAAACCGTGAAACCAGCCAATGCCTCTACATAGCTCCATTCTTATTTCAGACATCATGATATATCAGTGTATCATGGTGTTTGATTGGTGATATATCATCATGTTGAAAATCAGATATTGCAGTCCTAGAGTTTATAAAGTTATGCATGGTACAGAGAAAGTGGATCGAGAAACGTCGCTCTCCGTCTCTCACAATACTCAGACTCAGGGACACCCAACGAGGCTGAACGGTGAAAGATTCAGGACAGAGAAAGTGCAGTACTTTCCCCACCGACGAACTGGCGGAAGAGGCTGTTGGCGGGGCGGGAGGGAGCTCTTGGGCGGCATCCTGCCGGCGGGTTTCCCCCGGGGGCATCTGCTTGGCCGCGGTGGGAAGAGGATCCGGCAGCCGCTCCGCTCCTGTTCTCGGGGAGCCCAGCTGGACGCCCTTGGAGCAGGCGGGGAAGCGCTTCTGCAGCCCAGGGGCCTCCCGGAGTTCCTTCGGCCGCTCACCGGCCGGAAGCCGCCTTCCCGCGCGAAGCCCGGGCGCTCCGGGGGGCGTGGCCTAACTGTGTCGGGTCAGTCCCCGCCCCAACCACCGCGATTCTTCCGCCAGCAGCCAATCCGCTTCGGGGGGCGTTCCCTCCATTCAGGATTCCTCGTCCGGCTTGGAGGGTATGTAACAGCTGCTTCCCCGCGCGTCCCCCCGAGGTGCCCTTTGGAAAGCGGGGGGCGCGCAAGTTCGGAAGGCCTTGGCTGGCGGGGGAGGGGCTGCGGAGCCGGGCCGCCAGATGGGGAGGGCGGCGGGGGCTTGGCTCGCCTGCCTGCCTGCCTGCCCGCCGGGCGCGGCGCCTTCTCTCCGGCGCGGCTCCGGATTCCGCTCTGTCCCAAAGCGGCCGAGGGAGGAGGGAGGGACCCTCCGCCTCTCGGCGCCCCCCTCGCCCCTCTATCCCCCGAAGCAAAAGCGCTGCCGGGGGACAGAGGGGCAAGGGCGGGCTTGCAGCGCCCGCTTCTGGCCTCGGGCCGGCGGGGAGAGTTGG